ACAGCGCTGCAGAGTTGCGAGTTTGCCGGTTTTGAAGGCTTGCTGGGTTTATGGGTTTAGGGTTTATGGGTTTAGGGTTTATATGGGTTTATGGGTTTAGGGCTTGTGGGTTTATGGGTTTAGGGTTGAGCGTTTATGGGTTTAGGGCTTATAGGGTTTATGGGTTAAGGGTTTAGGGTTTATGGGTTTAGGGTTTTGGGGTTTAGGGTTTATGGGTGTAGAGTTTATAAGGTTTATGGGTTTAGGGTTGAGGGTTTAGGGTTGCTAAGTCAGGGTGGGCTGCTGGCCATTTCTCGGGGGCTGGGGGCCCGCTAGACAGAGGAAGGATGCTCGGGATGTCTTTAATCTCACTGTCAGTAGGGGTTATTAAGGCCCCCGAACCCTAAACCCGAAACCCTAACTGCGAACCCCCAAACCCTAAACAAGAACCCTGCACACCACAAAAGCCTAAAACTCCTCTACTAATACACAGAACCGTCACTTGATCGACCGGTCCTGTATGGCTTAATGTAGGGGTTTTAGTAAATGGAATAGCGTTCCTTTCAAGAGTTCAGATGGGTTCGATAAGGGTTCTATACCATTCTATAACAATCTTGGGGCGCCATAAACCCTAAACAATAAACCCTAAACCGTATTAGAACAGGGTTTTGTGGCACGTTTGGCAAAATACGAAACCGTAAGAGATCGTATTGTTTAGGGTTTAGCGTCTCGGTGTATATACACGTATGTATACAAGTTAATGTTGTTTGCGTATAGTTAGTTGGTGCACACGTGTTTCATACAGCTTTCGCACACATAGTACCAAAACTTTTTGTTTGGATCAGCATGTGTTTTTTTGGTAGCTGTAAAGACACGACAATGGATTGGACATATGTACATGCATACAGGTGTAAATATGTGTATGTATGTGTATGTGTGTATATATATATAGATAGATAGATAGATAGATAGATAGATAGACAGATATATATATATATAGAGAGAGAGAGAGTGTACATACATACATACATACATACATACATACATCCAGGTGTCTTGGCGGTCGTCCTTGTGGCTCTCCTCGCGCGACCACGTCCAAAAGCGGCAGTTTTCGTTGCCTCGAGGAAGTATGGAGCAGTCACATGGGCGGACATATGGGTAGTTGTCTAAATTAGGGTCCCTTTTAGGGTCCTCTTTATAAGGGTGCCGTACTATATTGGGGACCTAAAAAGGGACCCTACTTTAGAGAACTACCCATATGTTTTGAAAATTCAGACGTGGGGGTTTCAGGTTCCGGGTTCGGGGACTTCGGCGGATCCTCGAGACTGCAGCCGAGAACAAAAGAACGACTTGTGCCTGCTGTGGTGTTGTCTTTGCTGCTGATGGCGACGATCCGCGGCTTTCAAGACACGGATAGCGGTGATCTGTATGATAATGCTTGATTTCCAGCATGGTGCTTGTGAGGACGATAAATGAACTTGATCATTGTAAGGATGGCATGGTTCATGGTACTAAAGCGAGCTGTCATGCTGCCACTAACTGGCGAAGAACAATGAAGGAGACGACTAGCGGCTAGTCGTCTCCCTCATTGTTCTTCGCCTGACTAGCGAGCATGCCGTCGACTATTGACGAGTGTGCTCATGATGGAAATTTTGAAGAAAAAAGAAGACGATTAACACAACAACGAACATCATCATGAATTATTCCGCTGATCGCCGATCGACACCAATGTCGCCATCATCATCATCATCATCATCATATTCTTCTTCTTCTTATCATTATTATTCATACTTCTTCTTCTTCTTCAACAACAACAACACCACCATCATCATCATCACCACCCTTCTTATCTGTCATCATCATCATCATCATCGTCACCGCGACGGGCTACCTACTTCGCAATTGAAGTTTGCCGTCTCTGGTTACAAGCTGGAAACCACTGTGCCCGCGGGTTTAGGATTGTAGGCTTCTGGAATGTTGGTCCCTGTAGAAATGGGGTTGTGTCCAAGGGGCTGTTGCAAAGCTCACAGCAAGCAGCCGCAGATGTCACGGCGTTGAACATCTGAACATCATTGCCTGCGTAGATCCAGCCTGGACAAGGCAGCGACCCTGCTAGTCCACATGCCATTCCAAGCTTGAGTCCAGTCATGGGAAGACTCTCAGACATTGACAACCTGATCATGCATGCACTCGTGATCCTGGAATCGACGGCTGTGATGGCAAGATAAGACTCACAAACGAGAACAACATGTGACTGCTCTCCGTCGCATTCTTGGTTATTGGGCCCGAACAGGCTTGCCAACTCCCGCAAAAATTTGGGCTTTCGATGGGATGTTGTCGCTGTTTCTTACGCCAGTCCTTACTTGCTAAGTCCCCTGGTCCTCTGAGTAGACCCAAAACCTCCAAAACTTTAACACCCCGCTATGAACTCCATCGACCTCGTCAGTCTTTCCGAAACCGAAACCCCTAAAAGCCCGAAAGCACCCTAAACCCTAAACCCTCCACACGAAGCTTCCCCTACCCGGCTTAGAAGGTAGGGTTTAGGGTTTAGGGTTCGGGGCTTAGGGTTCTTCCGGATCTGAGAGCGACACCATGTTCAGAGTTGCACTCTGGTCCGGCATCAGAGGTGATCCTTAGAATGTAAACCCTAAACCAAAAACCCAAAGAACCTGCCTTTTTAAGGACTTATATAAAGACATTATAGTAAGGAGTGCTAATAAGGTAGGTTCTTTGGGGTTAAGGTAAAATTGAACCCTAAACCCTAAACCCAGGTTCCCCAGTAACCCCTTAATAACAAGGCTACCCTTTTTCCTGATACTCGGCTTTAACAAGGAGACCCCCAAACAAACACGGCAAAAGGGCACTACTGGGGAACCTACCCATAGGCCCCTAAGTAGTTCCTTTTTGTGGTTTATATTTAGAATCCTATAAGGTAATCCCAAAAAAGGAACTACTTAGGGGCCTATGGGTAGACACCCTGCTTCCTTGGAATCTGAAGAGACGTCAGCGTTGCGAGATTCAGGGTTGAGGGCTTAGGATAATAAATATAGGGGCCTTAAAAGGTTCCATTCGGGTTTGGGGTATTCTTTGCTATAGTCATGAATGAGGAGCCCCAAAATAGATAGTGGTAATGATGAACTATATTTATTCAGGCCCCCCACATTAGGGGTTCCCTTACAAGCTTAGGGTAAGGGCTTCCGCATGGCTTCAGATAGAAAATGCGGGCTTTACTTTACACCGGGGGTGTGGGTGTCTTGGGTTTCGGGCTGTCGTTTCGGGCTTGGGGCAAGAGGGCGTTGTTTGAAGGATTAGGGTTCGGAACTTCGGATGCTTGGAACCGTCTGAGGGTGTCTAAGTGTTGCTGCCATTTCCGCTCTCTCGCTGGTATGAAGGATGCACCCTTGTTTTCCGTTAGCCTCAAATGACATTAATGGTGCGCGTACCCAAATAGCAGGGTCGTAAAGTACCCCATGCAAGCCATTCGGAGTCTAGCGTTCGAGACACGAAGGGAGCATCGCAACGCGAGACAAAACATAGTCTCTGAAACCACCTCCTCCAACTGCTTTGCACCCACAGGCCCCTAAGTAGTTCCTTTTTGTGGTTTGTATTTAGAATCCTATAAGGTAATCCCAAAAAGGAACTACTTAGGAGCCTATGGGCAGTTTATGGATCTTAGGGTTAGGGCTTCCCGTGCCTACTTGGAGTTCCGGCGCTAGCCTCTGAGAAGTTGCCGACGACTGTTGAAATCACGAGTTATGATGGTTCGGGTTTCGGGTTTAGGGTGTTCGGGGTTCAGGGTTTAGGGTTAGGGTGTTCGGGGTTCACCGGGTAAGGTTTAAGCGTGTAGAAAGATGATTTAGGGGGTGAAGGGTTCAGCGGGGTCAATGGGATCTAAGTTGGGCTTTGACGTAGTTGTAGCTGCCTGGCTTACAGCCGTACCAAGTCCCCCATCCTCACAGCAGAAACACCCTCAGCGGCATGTAAGCAACCCGACGCTAATATGATATAGAGCTCACCCATCCTAAATAGCGCAAATACCCCGAACCTTAAAGCATCACCTTTTGGGGGTTCCCTTATGTCACATTCTATTTAAAGCCCCAAGCCCTAACCCTAACGGCCTGCGGACTTTCAGCTGGGAGTTAGGAATAGTGGGGACCCTTGGGGATAGACCCTCTCAATAAGGTCCCCTTTAAGAGAGCCAAAAAGCAGGGTTCAAAAGGGTCCCCTTTAAGGGGTCTCCCTAAAACTACCTAGGATCAGCGTTTCTGGCATATCGTAAAGGTGCCTCGGGTCTTGAGGGCCTTACGTGTAGGCGCCCAGGGTTTAAGGGTTCAGGGCTTGGGGCTTTAGGGTTCAGGGCTTGGGGTTTACGGTTTAGGGTTTCGGGCTTAGGGTTTAGGATCTAGTTTTAGGTCCATGGGATATATATATATATACATATATATATATACACAGGGAGACGTGGAACTTCCTAAAGTAGGACCCCTCTTTAAAATGTACTCTGCCAGTTTTGTCATTGAAGATGTGTCTGTCCCTGTGTCAAACATAACATGATAAGCATAATAATCAGACGAATAATACTAAACATACAAATAAGCCATAGCATTGCTAGTATTATGAAGCGTAATAGCTGGTGACAGAAATTAACAGTCAAAACCAGAATAGCAGAATAGCAATAAACATGATAATAGTATGTATGTATGTAGGTATGTATGTGTCTCTATATATATATATATGTATGTATGTATACATTGGGAAATGACTGCACCGGGCATTTCGGACGCAACAAACCAGATCCGTCGTGGCCCCCATCGCTACTGTACACTGTACAGGTTGACAATTCAGTTCAGTGAGTCCACAACGGTCAGCTGGATGATGGACACAAAATCCCGGAATGTGTTCAGAAGGCTCGCTGAAGAAAAGTGCCAATGAGGCGCGGATTTCTTGCACCACGCCTGGGGCTGGTCGTGCCTGCTTGGGAGCCGCCGGGCCATTGTGGCCAATGAATATCAGGGTAGCACCTAGTTCACCTGTGGCGGGAACCCACTCAGGCCAGCGATGTAGACCGGCTTGTTCGCACGCGGATAACCCGCCAGCTCATTGCGCAAGGCCTCCGATGCCGGCCCAATGATCGTGATGCTCTCCAGCGCGATCTGCGTGAACCACAAGGCTGCCAAAGCCTGGTCCTGGTTCTGGAGGTGCCAAAGCGCGGCGTCGGAATCACGGAAGGTCTCGATAAACTCGATCTGGTCCGGGCGCTTCTGATAGGACTGGTAGAACGACGCACCAGGCTTCGCGGCGACGCTCTGAGCCAACTGAGCGAGGATCTCTCGGATCTTCTCAGTCTCGGCCGTCGGCTGGATGTTGAGCGTGATGAGGAAGGTGATCGTCGTCATCGACGGGACCACAGGGGCCAGAATCTCACGCTTCACCGCGGGCTCCTCTGCTGTGGGTTGCGGCGCCTCGCCCGTGTGGGGGGGCTGTTCGACATCGCGGTTGTCGTTCGAGCTCATGGCTGACAAAATCACTACAACGGACAGCTGGAACCCTGAGCAAGAGCTGATCGAATTCCACTAAACCCTCGTAGAACCCGTCTAGGAGGCAGCCACATCAAGGCCAGCGTCGTCGGTAGCGTTACGGAGCACCAAAAAACACGGTGGGCGAAACCGTGATTCCACGCCAGCGGCTGAGGCGAGGGCACTGAAACCGTCTGGCTCGGCTCGCGAACCTGAGAGGGCTGCACAGCTGAAGTGAGCATTCATGGACCCCCAAGGGCCGTTCAAGGGGCTTTGCGTTGGCTCTCTATGGTCGGGATACGAAGATGTTCGGGGCTGGAGTTTAGAATATATTGGAGTTCAGGATTTCTATCAGAAGGGGCACTGCAGGTTGGAACTCAAGGCAGCAGAGTGTGGGATCCGTGTGTCAGTGATGTCGCAACTTCTTCGTCTCGTCCTTTCGACATATTCGAGACTGAGAGATCGATCAGCTTGCGTCGGGCCCCCGAGCAAGTTACAGTACCCAGAGAGCCCAATACCCCTTGATCAATGAATATACCTTAAATTATAGGGGCTTTAATCTTATGATTTACAGTATATATTTTATTTAAGGGGTATTGGGCTCTCTGGGTAGAGGTCTACCAGACCGAAGGGGCAGGACTGAAACAGGACAGGAACTTTGGGAAGTATCCCGGAAAGTCCGAAGGACCTAATGATGAGGCACTTGGGTTTAGGATTGTTTTGACAGGTCACTATTCGGGAGAGTATATGATTTTTTGTTGCCTTGGACCCCAGGGGTATGGTAATAAACTCAAAAGAGCAATCATAGTACTGAACTTAGAGCAAGCAGGAGCTATATTGGACGTGCGTGCAAGAGAATATCTAGATGTGTACTGAAAACTTAGACTGTTGGGGGCAAAGATGTGCCCCCAGACTCTCACATGAAGATTTACAACTCCAGTTGAGGTCTTACACATAGCATAACTGCATAGTAGCGATTCCTCGTGGTTATCGCGGGAAATTGAGATATCAGGATTGAGGGGAGTCCTACGGAGCTTCAACAGTCGAGATAACGGGCTCCACAGGCATGCAAGCAAGGAATGCAGGGCTGAGTTGGCTGAGGGCGAGATGGGCCGGGGGCTTGAATGAGATGCCATGAAGGCCCAAGAGCCGTTGATGGCTCGAAATAAAAAGCGCAAACCCTAACCCTAAAGCCTGAACCCTAAGCGCCTAAGCCCAACGCCGAAACCCTTTCAGTGCCCGACTATCTTCCACCCACAGGACTTACCTGAAGGGTCAATATAGTCTTCCACCCTTTCCTACCGTATACAAAACCTCGTAGTACGCATGATGCAGCAACCTGCAATTCGGGTCATGGGCTTGTTTTGCCCTACACCCACCTTTATCCTGGTTCGAACTGAGGCCGGATCCATGACAAGTAGCCTCGGAGGCAGCTGCAGCGTCGTGGGGGTTCTTTGGTAACCCTAAACCCTAAACTCCTAAAACCCTAAGACCCTAAAACCCTAAACCCTAAAGCCTTAAAACCCTAAAGCCCTAAACCCTACCTAAACTTCAAACCCTAAACCTTAAATGAAGCAATGGAGGGTGGGGTCGGCGTGGACGGCACGAACTTTGCAAGCATATGGGTAGTTCCCTAAGCTGCTGTTGATGATATAAATCCTGCATTACCTTTGCCCATTAAGGGATCTGTGAGTTTAAGGTTTGGGGTTTAGGGTTCAGGGTGGGTTTTGGAGTATCATGCTGTTGATGATACAAGTCCTGCATTAGCTTAAGGAGCCTAAACTATGGGAATTATGGTATATTCCTGATTATGGGTAATGCAGGATTTATATCATCAACCGTAGGTTCCCTTTTTAGATCCCCAATATAATGCGGCACCCTTAAAAAAAGGGACCGTAAAAAGGGACCCTAGTTTAGAAAACTACCCATATCCATGCTCTTGATGAGTCCACAACCAGCCATTGGACATCAAGGTTTTAGGGGTTTTAGGGTTTTAAGGATTTAGGGTTTGACATCATGATCCTGTCCTTTCTCTCCGCTTCGAGTCAATACCTCGGGCCAGAACAACTAAAACCATGCCATACATATTGGCATGCATATTGGCTGAAAAAACAATCAACTATAGAACCTTATGCTTATGCGGTGATTTCCTGGCCTGACCCTAACCGAGAAACCGCTTAACTCTTACATTGTCGGGCGGCGTGTCCGCCAAGTGCGGAATGGTGGATGCTGCGCGCAGCTTCTTGGTGAGGTCCTGGTCAGCACGTCTGAACTACCAAGACATGGAAACCTGCACAACCACCCTATAAAACCCTAAACCTTATAACAAATCCTACAACCGAACCTCCTATTTATGTTAGCATATTCATGTATATCTGTGTTACTCAGGTGTGAGACTGAGGGGTATCTGGCTTGAGACCCAAAACAAGGCTCGAAGATGTGCGGTAGAGGCTTCAACCCTGAACCCTGAAATTCTTCAAGCTTTGGGGTCTAGGGGTTAGGGTTTAGGGTTTAAAGTTTAGGGCCCGAAGAAGATACCTAATAACGCCGCTGTAGAACTATGTAGCCTCAAGCTGTTGGCCTTTTTTGGATGCTAAGGTCGTGGTCGTGCATTTGGAACGGCAGAGGGTAGGTTTACTTACGTTCGTCACTGTAGTTCCTTCTGTTGGCCACCTGAGTCTTTAGGGGCTCCTCACCGTCAACTGACAAATTAAAGGCGCCACAATGCTTTAGGATTGGAGGTCAGGCGTGTTAAGCCTCAACCACCCAAAATACACTAAGCAAATCTTCACCAAGTTGTACTCCTGCAAGATCTCTGCACCTCAAGACCCAGGCACATCTCAGGCCGTAAACCTTCCAGAACCTTGACATTTGAGGCTCCAGCCACCCAAGGTTCCTCACAACTGTACCTCATAGCTCCATACAGCCTGAGCCATATCAGAAAAGAGCCCTCCTGTCCGGATGTTCAGCTCCCATGCCGAAAGCCTATCTACATCCTAATCCCCGAAGCCCTAAACCCTAAACCCTGTGTCAGACCTTATAGACAGAGCTACGAAGCCCGAACACGTTCCTTTAGGAATCTTAAACCCCAATCCCTGAACCCTAAACCTTAAACCCTAAACCGTCCTTTAGGAATCTTCTGAAACAAATCTACTCAACGGCTGTCAGAGCCTCGTCGACGTGGATGAGGCCCGTATGCTCGCGGATGAGCGCCAACACTTGCTCTTGAGTCAGCCTGGATTCGGGGCTTTGGGGGCTTGGGGCAAGGCTTTGTTCAGGATTTGGGGGTTTTCGAAAATAGGGGACCCTAATATAGTACCCCAAATAGTAGGATCCATATTATAAGGACCCCCCAAATAAGGTACCCCTTATTTTCGGAAACTCCCATTTCGAGTTTCGCATCTAGGGCTTCCAGTGAGGGCTTCCAGTTTGATCAAGGCTTTACCCATAGGCCCCTAAGTAGTTCCTTTTTGGGATTACCTTCTAGGATTCTGAATATGAACCACAAAAAGGAACTACTTAGGGGCCTATGGGTAACGAAGATCGGACAAGGGTCTTTTGGGCGTTGGTGAGGTTTGGGTGCAGGGATCTAAGGTGCCAGCAAACTTAGGGGGTGCCTGATTTCGGGGTCTTTTGTCATAAGTATACTACTACGCACACCCAAAACCCTAAACCCAAACCCTAAACCCAAGACCCTAAATCCCAGACCCTAAACCCTAAACCCTAAACCCTAAACCCAAAGCCCCAAGTACCAAGGTCCCCTAGTTTCTGAAGCTCCCAACAGGGTCTGAGAAGTTCAAGTTCAAAGGACAAGAGATGAGTGATGAAGCTTCCGGGTGTGCCGAGAGCCCCATTGCTGACAAGCAGTGGTTTAGGGTTTAGGGTTTGGGGGGGCTGAGTTTAGGGTTTAGGTTTTAGGGTTTTGAGGGTTTTAAGGGTTTTAGGGTTTAGGGTTTGGGGGGCTGAGTTACGGGGTTCGCGGATTGGAAGTTTGTCCTGGGCATTTAGGGTGCTTCAGCTGTAACAAGGGCCCAGCAGACCGTCCTGAATATCAGGATGTCCAAAAAACTCTCCTGCAGGCAAGATCTTCATACTTACGTCTGTCTCGAAAACTGGCAATATTGACCGAAACCCTATACCCTAAACCCTGAACCTATGCAGGGACTAGAAGAGGAGGCCGGTGATTACTAAGCACTGATTATTCAGACCTCTATGACTCGACGTCTCTATGTAAACACATAGATCGGCACTGAATGCCAAACGCTTACAGAAATCTCCCAGGACCTTACACAACGCTTAGGGTTTAGGGTTTAGGGATGTTTAGGGTTTAGGGCAATTACAAACCTTAAATCAACTTAAACACAAAACCCTCATAGAACCCTTCAAAAAACCTTAAAATCTGGTAACTTACACCAAACAAGCCTCATACAACCCCGAAAAAACCCTAAATTCTGGTAACTGAAACCAAAAAAGCCTCATAGACTCATAAAACTCTAACCCCTAAATTCTGGTAACTGAAACCAAAAAACCCTAAACCCTAAACCCCTAACCCCTTAACCCTAAGCCCCTACGCCCTAAACCCAAAGCCAAGCGGCGGATTGGCTGTGCCCAGCCCCTGCAACCCAGGCCGGGCCCAGGTGAGGACCAGGCCCGTTGCTGTGTGCCTTAGGGGTTTCCTTTTGTAAAATGGCAGTTAGGATTACGGGGGCCCTCGGGGATACAGGCCCTCTCAATAAGGCCCCTTTTAAGAGAGCCAGAGATAGGGTTCAGAAGGGTCCCCTTTAAGGGGTCTCCCTAATACTGCCTAGGAATAACGGAACTATAAGGGTTCCTATAAGGGGTATATAGGGGAACATAGGGGTTTAGGGTTTGGGGTTAGGTTAGGGTTTAGGGTTTCCTTTTTTTTTTAAAGGAACTATAAGGGTTCCTATCAGGGGTTTAGGGCTGCCTTTTATAAAGGAACTATAAGGGTTCTTTTAAGGGGTTTAGGGCTTCCTTTTATGAAGGAACCATAAGGGTTCCTATAAGGGGTTTAGGCTTTCCTTTGATAAAGGAACCATAAGGGTTCCATAAGGGTTCCTATAATAGGGGTATACAGGGGATTAGGGTTTGGGGTTTAGGGTTTAGGGGTTTAGGGGTTTAGGGTTTCCTGTATACTTACTTCACCAAGAAGTTAGGGAAATTAAAGGTTAAACTTAGGGCTTATAGGGTTTAGGATTCAGGATTGCGGGAGGCACCTCTGCATGGCCTAAACTCCCATCAGCCGCGACGCACTAGAGAGGGGCGGGGCGGGGGGAGTTTGCTGGAAAGGATCTCTTGTTGGGTCTCCATTAGGAGTACACCCCAAGGATCCCGGACCTCATCCAAGTTTAGAGGCAGTTCCGCAGAGAACCCATGGAGCCACCCCAAAACTTCATTAAAACACAAAACCCAAAACCCCAAACCCTAAACCCCAAAACCTCATAAACAACAACAACTAGTCAGGCCTTTTATGACTCATCGTCGGGCTCCTAGAGGTCCCTCCGGCAAGTGTGAGATCTTGCAGAGCTAGGCTTGCCTTTTGCAAGAGGGCTAGTAATCAAAAGTAGCTACATACTGTTGATGATATAAATCCTGCATTGCCTTAAGGACCCAAAACTATGGGAATTATGGGTATATTCCTTATGATGGGTAATGCAGGATTTATATCCTCAACCGTATGTCCACAAGTACCATACCACACCCACAATTAACAAGTCCTCAGATCTCTCAAGAAAGCCCGAGAACCACACAGAACTCTGACACAAATCTAAACAATCGATAAGAGCGTTACACAGAACTCTACACTCCTTGATCCCTAAAGCAAGACTCGTAAATGGATTGCGTGGCCTGCATAACAGAGGGACTTGGCTGCCAAGGTGCTGGTCCAAATTCTGCAGAAATGTTGGTGTGAGGTCCTTACGTTTCCGGCAGCTAAAGACATCGATGCATCAGACTTCAAAAAAGCAAGAGCCCGAACCTAACAACCTCGACCCGGGAAAATTAACCCTAAACACTAAATCATGCATTAAAACAACTAGGGCTGAAGAAGAGAGCGGCTGTTGGAATGTGCTCGGCGACTTCCAGGCAGAGAGACCAGTCGAACCTGAACTGCGAGACATCGCAGGGCTGGCTTTATTTATATGGTTCTGAGGAGGCTCTGCAACTTCTCTACTAAGGGTTCTGGAAGGGTTCAACAAAGGGCTCTGTAGAGGTTTAACGGTCTATGTTGTCGTCTCGAGGGTCGTTTAGGCCTTTTATACGTAGGGCATGTAAGCTTTTGCCGACCAATGATTTTGGAGCCAGGTGTCTAGAAGTTGGGGTACTACGGATCCAGTTAGTTTAGAAGCCTGACACCCTAAGTACATCATGGCAGAGCAGTTGGCGCACTGCACAACAGTGACCACCTATGGCATACTTGAAAACCCCCAATCTCACCATCGAGGAATTTCCACACACACTGAACCCCAATACCCGTGGAAACTTAAGGTAAATGCAGTTACAAGCGGATTGTGGCTTTATGCTGTTACTAATCATTCCGTCCCGTACATTATGTAAGCCCCAAAGGCCCTGCACCCAGAACCTACAGCCCAAAGCCACGCCAAAGCCCCCCACTAGGATCTACGCGTGTAGCCATAAATCCCCAGCATCTAGACCTCCCCGAACATACGCAAGAGGCAACACAAAACCGTAAGCCGCAAAGAAAGGCCCTCAAGGCCATTAAAGCAGGCCCTAAACTTCTGCTAATATAGGGGCCTTAATAATTTGAACAGGGTGTGGGGGTCCAACATACTATAATTATAATAAGGAGCCCCCAAAACCCAATTCTAATTATTAAGGCTCCTATATTACCCATGTAATACCTTTCTAGTACCCTTATAGTACCCCTGTTCAGGATTTTAGGGTTTAGGGTTTAGGGACCCCTTTACACAGAGTACTCATATCGTCCCCTTATAGTAGCCCCCAGAGAGACCACTACCCCTTAATTAAGGAATATACCTTAAATCATAATACTAAGGCCCCTATAATTTAAGGTATATTCCTTCATTAAGGGGTATTGGGCTCTCTGGGCCCTAAACCCAAAACACCAAAGCCCCTAAACCTTAAACCCTAAACCCTAACCCCTAAACCCCTAAACCCCAAAACCCCTGAACCCTAAACCTTAATTAAGGGGTGTTGGGCTCTCTGGTACCCTGCCTCCTCCACAGTGTAAGCGGTTTGCCGAGGTCGGCGGCAGCAACAGCACCTCGGGTGACCTGAGGGTTCGTTGAGGCTGGTTCCTTTAGTAGGAAGGGGTACATAAGGGTTTGTAGGGTTTAGGGGTTTAGGGTTTTTGTGGTTTAGGGTCTAAGGTTTAGTGGTTTAGGGTTTAGGGTTTAGTGGTTTAGGGTTTAAGGCTTAGGGGGTTTAGGGGTTTAGGGTTCCTTTTCAGGCTTAGGGTTTATGTTTTTAAGCAGGCATCCTTATAAACAAGTCCTGGAAGGGTTTTCCCAAGGGCCTCCTGAATGGCTCCTTTGAGGGTTACTTTTAAGGTTCATTCAAGGCCGCCTTAATGAGGATCGGCATGGAGTAGGTGCAGGTTCCGGAGTTCGGGGTTTTCTCAGATGCCTAGAAAAGAGGCTCCACCCATAGGCCCCTAAGTAGATCCTTTTTGGGATTACCTTATAGGGTTCTAAATATGAACCACAAAAAGGAACTACTTAGGGGCCTATGGGTAGAAGGCATTCTTTCAGGGTTCTGTTTCTCGCCAAGAGCCCATCAATGAGAAACGGCTCAACCCTAGACACCGTAAATCCGGAAGCCGAACGGCCCCTGAAACCGAAAGCATTAAACCCCTAGATGAGCCCATGACGAAGCCTTCAAGCTTAAAACCTTAAAGCTTTAAACCTAAAACTTCAATGAACCCAAGACCCTAGATCGAACACTGAAAACCCCAAACATCTCAACACTTTGGTTTAGGGTTGAAGGTTTAGGGTTTAGGGTTTGGGGTTTGGGGTTTATGGTTTGGGGTTTGGGGTTTAGGGTAAACCTCTTGAGCTCCGTTTCTGCGGAGTCACGAGATTGATGTCAGGCGAGCCATCGAAAGCGAAGGCCTTCACCAAACCTGCATCGGATGCTCACAGAATGGCACCTAGACCCTAGAAGAATAATTGTTGCATTTTGGTGATACCCACTCCCGGTTAGGATCCTATGACAAAGCAACTCAGGTAACCCAAC